CTCATTCTGCTTAAGAGCCTTCAAACCTCCAAATCACCTCATGTCTTCCAGAGTTGTTTTCAATCGTGTTCCAGGAAGAGGCACAACCACCAGCTGTTGTGGGCTAAGGAGTTGAGTAGTGCCTGTTAGCCTGGGCAGGAACAGGAACTGGGCTTATGGCTAAAAACACCTAGACTAATTGGACTTATCTGTATCCAATATCCTGCTAAATGAGGATGTGGGGGGAAGAGTATATAAGGAGAGGTGAAGGGGCACTAAAGGGAGATTCGCAGAGACTTCTACCATCACTGGTCTCCTGTTGGTGCTTCATCCCCAGACCCTCTCTGTGTCCATGTTACTGGGTCTGCTGGCCGAAGCAACCAGCTACATCAACGTGGCCCAAACCCAATTAAGATGGGCCAGAAAGTGTCCAGGAGTTGCCCTTTGCTTAAAATTAATGCCAGGAGAACTTTACCCCCATTGCCATAACGTGAATGTCGGGAAGAGATTGTTTGCAAACTGCACCTGTGCAAGATAAAAACTTCCCCTTTTGAATAGTCATTTCCCACTCAAAATAGGTGGTACCTGATTTCCCCAACTCAGGGAGCCACTGCTTTGAAGATGATTCCCCATAGTGTCCTTGTTTGCTGCAAATAGAAATTATTCTATGGAGTGGGTGTTTTGGGCCTGCAGTTAAGACACCACTTGTTATATCTATGTCCTGTAACTGAGGGCCTGGGTTTAAGTCCTGGCTCTGCTTCCGTTCCAGCTTCCCGCCACTGTGCATGCTGGGAGATGATAACTCAAGCAGGTGCATGTCTGATACCCACTATGGGACACTGGGACTGACTTCCCGGCTCATGGCCCCACCCCATTTCAGGCCTGAGTGGGGTTAGGCCAGAGGATAAGAGATCTTTGTCAATCTCTAATTCTCTCTCTCTGCCTTTCAAATAAGTATTTTTAAAAATACTAAAATTATATAGAAATGACTTTTTGTGGCAACCACTTTTGGTGGTTTAGATTTTCACCTACCAAGAAATGAACCCACGTTGGGTAGATAACAATAGCACTAATCATTTGACCATGAACATTTCTCAGATTCACTCTAATGCTCTTTATCAACTGAGTTCACACACCTGAACTCCCCTACCCACAGGGGAAAAAAAGTCTTTTTATCACTCATTTTTCCACATTCCTTGCACAGGTCACAGACCTTCCAACTTCCAAGCTGTTACTAAATCCAGTTTCCTTGCTTTGCTAAACTTTTTTCTAAAAGATTTATTTTTATTACAAAGCCATATATAGAGAGAGGAAGATCTTCTGTCCCATGATTCACTCCCCAAGTGACCGCAATGGCTAGAGCTGAGCCAATCTGAAGCCAAGAGTCTGGAACCTCCTCCAGGTCTCCCACGTGGGTGCATGGTCCCAAGGCTTTGGGCCATCCTCAACTGCTTTCCTAGGCCACAAGCAGGGAGCTGGATGGGAAGTGAGGCTGCCGGGATTAGAACTGGCACCCATATAGGATCTCAGCACATGCAAAGCGAGGACTTTAGCCACTAGTCTACTACGCAGGGCCCTAAACTATTATTTAACAGGCAGACAGACTAGGGAGGGGCGGGGAGAGAAAATGGGTGCTTTTAAGCACTGGTCCACTCTCCAGCTCTCCAAATCCCGCAATGGCCTGAAATGAGAAACCAGAAGCTCAATCCAGCTCTTCCATTTGGGTTGCTGACACTGGATTGCTTGGGTCAGGGTCTGCTCAGCAGGAAGCTGCAGTCAGAAGCCCTGGCCTGGTCTCAAACCCAGGCACCTGACCTGGCACCTTCGCCACTGGGCCAAACTCCCACCCATTCTTGCTAAATCCTTTTTTTAATTTATTTTTGTTGGAAAGACAGATTTACAGAGAGAAAGCAAGAAAGAGAGAAAGATTTTCTGTCCACTGATTCACTCCCCAACTGGCCACAGTGACCAGAGCTGAGCTGATCTGAAGCCAGAAGCCAGACCTCCCACTCGGGTGCAGGGTTCCAAAGATCATGGGCCATCCTTTGTTGCTTTTCCAGACCATATGCAGGGAGCTGGAAGGGAAATGGAACAGCCTAAATATGAACCGGAGCCCAAATGGGATGCCAGTGCTTAGAGGTAAAGGATTAACCAGTAGAGGCCACTCGCCTACCCCACTAAATCCTTACTGTGGATTGTGCTGAGCGCAGCACAACAGACCTGTCATCTGAGACAGAGCCTGGGCAGCTGCATGACACCACTCATCCCTCTCTCTAAGTCTGCTTTTCCAGTGGAAAATAAATAAATAGGAAAAGAAATGACCACAGCTTGTATTGCCACGTGTCTCACTCTCAGCTGCCCCATTCAGTTCCCTCGCGGTGTTTGTTATTTCACAGAGACCTGTATGTCCTCCTGCTCCATTAGCTGTTATGTTCTGTGGCCCACTATTTTTTACATTTACATTCTTTTTGCCTTTCCGACTCCACACTGGGGCATTTTATACGTAGTGTGCATAATAATTTAAAAAATCATGACTAGAAACAAAGAAATTTGATTGTGTTAGTCTTAACTGTATATCATGTAGTGCAAAAAAAAAAAAAAGTCCCTTTCTAAATAAGTTTAATACTGCATGGTTTCCTAGGGGCTTTTAGTGACCCCTGCAAAATCAGGCCTTAGAAAACGAAGAGATTTTGGCTTGTGTAACACCCGCGCACTCAAGCACATCAAACAAGGGAGGATGCTGCAAAATGCACCTACGGCGTGCACTTCCTAACAAGGACAGCTAGGCGAGGGACTGGCCTCCGCCAAGTGCACGGTGCGATCCGGGTCCAGCCTCCACGCCTTTCCACCGCTCTCCCCCCCCCCGCGCTCTGCGAAATGGAACATTCCGTGCGAAAGCTTTGACAGCGCGCCTAGGCGTAGTCACGTGAAGCCTTGCGGAATGACGCGCGCTCGGGTTGCCAAGGGGCGGGGCGTGACGTCGCGGAAGGGGCGGGGCGAAGGAAGCCGGCCCGGGTAGCGCGGCGCGGCGCGGCGGGGCGGGGCGGAGGGGCGGGCCGAGCGGGCCGCGCGGGCGGGGAGGGCCCGGCGTATTATGGGATGCGGCGGTGGAATGGCGCTGGGCGCGTGATTTTGAACAAACCCGGGTCTGTGTCTCGGAGGCGCCGCCGCCGCCGCGGCTGCCGGGAGCCCAGGGAGCGCGGCGCAAGCAGGAGGCGGCGGCGCCGCCGGCCTTGGTGAGTGTCAGCCCCGCGAGAGGGAGGCTCCCGGGCGGGCCGGCGCGGGCTCTGGGCGGCGGACCGCTCCCCCGCCGGGTGCCGGGCCGGCCGGGCAGTGGCGGGGAGCGGGAAGCTGCGGGCTGACCGCAGGAAGCTGCCGGCCGAGGGCCGCAGCGGGGCGGAGGAACCCCTTGGCTGTCACCGGAGGGCCAGCGCCTGGCCGGCGGTGTAGACGAAGGGCTCGTGCGGGCCGCGCACGGGCAGACAGCGCGGTCCGGAGAGCCCGGCCGTGTGGGCCGCGCTGTCAGGGAACCGGTTCTGCTGCCGTGTCACTCGGGAGCAGCCCTTCCTTCCCTGGCTGCCCGCCGCCGCCGCGTCCTTCCTACGCCCCCTTTGTGCGGACCGTGCTCGGTGTGCGTGCGTCCGTTTCGCTCGCGAAGTCCACCAGCTAAGTGTCACAGGGTTCCCGAGGTGCACGGGGCGGGGGAGGCCGGGCCACGCAACGGTAAACAACCCGGCGGGGGTCCGGGGCACCGGGAGGACGAGGGACTTGGGGGCCACTGGATGGACTCAGCGTCCGGCAGGCTGCACCGGAACGCGGGCATTGGGGCGGGCGGGCGGTGGCCAGCGTTTGTTCAAGCCTGGGTCCACCGACTACTGTACGTGGCGTTGTCTTTTCAAACAAGGTAGGGAGATAAAGAGCTCTTTCGACTTCCACCTTAGACTCTTGTCAAGACTGAAGAGGCACCAGAGTGGCTCTTTTGCCATCCCTGGTGATTGTGGACTCTTTCTGAAATTAACAAAGGTAACTGATTTTTTTAAAGAGAAATGTTGGTATTTTCTTAATTAGGTGATTGTAAAAATGCGTAGGTTCTTTTTGAATTACTTGTTAAATATGATTAAAGGAACTGGTGGGATGGGCTAAGGGATAGCTCTGGGGTCTTATTGTAAAGCGGATCATTTATTTTTCAATTTGATGACTTAAATCCTTAAAAAATGATGATCATAAGCATGTGGCAAGACTTTGTAGTGCCGAGCTGTATTTTCCGTATTTGAGAAATTAATCAGGAATGTCTCCATAATTTGAGGGGTGGTACGTATTAAATCTAGTTGCACTTTGAGGTTTGGAAGTCTCCGGTTCAAGGGCAGAAACGAGCAGATAAAGTTGAATGGTGAGGGATACAGTTCAGAACTCTATTATTTTTAAGGATAGATTGTTTCTGATCCACCCAGCTGCCTGAGGGGTCAGTGCCCGTGGTTTAGGACCGGGTCAGAGGTCAAGGTGAGCAAATGGAGAGAGCTCATTCTGTCAGAGTAGTTCTGTGGGTTGAGTGTCAAAGTTGGAGAATGATGTTCAAGATGCCGGTGGTGTTTTCGGTGTCTGAGGTAGGCATGGTTAAGGCAACCCCTGCCTCCCACCTGTCTCAAGTTGCTTTTGTGGCGATGAAGGAGTTTGGATTTTTTTTTTTTTAATTTATTGTCTTGGTGCCACCTTCTGCACGGCGGCTGCTTTTTGCACACAATCCTGTGCCGGACTTGGGACCTGCAAGGGAGAGAGCGACTTCCTTTGGTGTGGCGGCGGCGTGTGGTTTCGGGGGTGAAAGGTTGGCGAAGCCCTGAGCACTTGTTCCTCCGGGTGCGTTGGAAGGGTGGCGGGGCCGGCGGGAGGCTTCCCCGGATATGTGGGTGTGCGCCTCTCGGGAGGGGCGGGCCGGGGCGGGGACGGGGAGGCGGGAGGGGGGAGGCTGCAGGCGGCGGCGGCGGCCCGGGCTCGGGCTGTCGGGGAAGCTGCTGAGCTGTGATGGTGATGACGAGGTGAAAATGGCGGATCTTTCGAAATACAATCCCGGCCCCTGACATACCAGAGGCGGCGACCGCGGCGACGTCGCCGCCGGGGCTTGCTCCCCAGCCCCCGGGGTACCCTGCAGCGCTCCAGTCCGGGCCAAGTGGGGAAGGAGACGGGCCGGCCAGAGCCACCGTGTCAGGCAAGCAAGCAGTGCCCGCACGGCTCGGGATTGCCCGGGACCTTCTGGATACCCCATCTCGGAACCGAAGGAGGAGAAAGCGGCCGTCGCTTGGAGGTAGAGGAGGCTGGGGTGCCCCGGGGGCTCCTCTGGCTGGAGAGCTCTGTATTTGGAGGAGGGGGTGCTGGTGCGTAGGGGAAGAATTACGTGGTGGTTCGAGGAATGACTTGTCCCGAGTGCCAGGAATCCAGAGCCTCGTCATGACATCAACATTATCCGTTGAGAGTGAAGAGGGCTCCAGTGTGCCCTTAGACCTAAGGCGCTGCTGAGGCCTAGAGGAACTGCCAGCAGCTACTGTGGGTTCCTGATGCTATACTGAAAATACCTATGCCAGCCAGTGTTGGTTGGGAGGTGTTCATCAATTTAGGGGGTTATATGTTTCTTGTGGGCACTGGAATTTTATTCTATGTGGAAGATTTTAAATATAGTCTATAACTTGTTGGGGGTGTTGGAGGCTCACAGTTTTTGCATAAGGACCAGTGTGAAACCATGAAAAATGTTATTTTTTCCTCCTTTTGAGGCTCATCCATCAGGTGACCCCTTTTGCCCCTGCCATTGGATAACAATTGAGATACTGTCAGTGATATTATGTAGCCTATGCTTTTCAGAGAAATTCTACTCTGCGCTCCCCTCCCCCATCCAGTTTCTTGAATGTAGAGAATAAAGTTATGAAGGGTTTTTTGTGTTTTTTTGTTTTTTTTTTTTTTTTGCTGTGGTGGACAATCCAAGTGGAATACAGCTCCTGCAGTTCCATTTTGGTCATGAGTTTTTGCTTCATTGTTATGGAGTGTGGATACCAGTGTTTATTGTGAGGGTGTTGAGGGTGTGAAGCTGGTCAGGATCAGTTGAGATTTCTGTTATATTCCAAGTGCTGGACTTGTCGCCCATTGTTTAGAGAGCTGGAGAACTGGACTGACTGCATGGTGGCCGTGGTTAATGTTGGATCATCTGAAGATCCATGGGGTCCACCTGCTCGCCCACAGCAGTGATATTACTGAAAGGTTACATGTGACTGCTGGAATGTGTCTGTGTGTTTTCCTCTAGCTTTAGAGTAGTAGAAGGCTGGATCAGTGCCTTGGAGCTGTGAGAGTCAGCTGAGAAGTCAGTGCTTAAGAATTGCCCACTGGTCGTATTTGTGGTGGGCAGTTAGTTCTCTTATTCATTTTACTTATCAGGAGTGGCGTTATACAATATCTAACAGAAGAGAAATACTGTATGTGAAATTGTGTGGATAGTTTGGACTTGTGACTTTCACTCATTACAGTAAGGAGCCAAAAAGATTTTAGGGGATATACCAGAAGTTTAGTTGATGATGATTTTATTAATTTGAAAAGTTTTGATGGGAGTTGGCACCATGATTTACAGGCTAATACTCCATCTGCAAGTACTGGCATCCCATATGGGTGTTGGTTTCTGTTTCTGCTGCTTCACTTCCCATCTAGATTCCTGCTTGTGGCCTGGGAAAGCAGCGAAGAATGGTATAAGTCCTTGGGCCACTGCATCCACATGGAGACCTGGAGGAAGCTCCTGGCTGCTGGCATCAGATCAGCTCAGCTCCCAGCTCTGGTCATTGAGGTCATCTGGGGAGTGAACCAGTGGACAGAAGACCTTTCTCTCTGTCTGTCCCTCTCTCTGTAAATCTGCCCTTCCTATAATAATAATCTTAATAAAATAATTTATTATGATCTTCAGTGGGATTTTATTGCCTTTTCAAAAAAAATTTGCAGTTTTTTGTCGCAGTTGTTTGGCTCATATCAGTCTGCTATTTTGTAAAGAGATTGAGAATTTTGAAAAATAATTGTAGCAGGGAGACTGAAATGCTTTTATGCTTTTTGTTTGTTTGTTTTAAAGGTTAATTTCCTTGAAAGTGTTACATAGAGAGGAGATGCAGTGAACTTCATCCCTATCTCCGCCATGAGTGGCAGGTGCCCAAACACTCTCTTTCTCTTCTTTTCCCAAGCATTAGCAGGTAGCTTGGTCTGAAGTGAAACAGTCCATTAGGGATATAGGTGTGGCAGGCAGTAGCTTTACGTCTTACACTGCAACACCAACCCTCTGCTGTTTTAATCACAGAAGTTTGTTGTCTTACTGTGATATGTGTGTGTGATTGCATTAACGATCAGTTTTCCAGTTCTTAATTGTTGTGGAAAAACAGTTGTCTGTTATTGATTGGAGATGTGTTATGGAGGAATGAGGAAAGAGTTAGGCTGCTGGAGATAGTCCCATGCCCGAATGGGAGAGGTGTGTTTTACCAGCTCTGGCGCTGGAACCATTTGTACCACTGACTTTATAGATTGAGCATCCTAATCTCAAAATCCAGGCTGCTAGAAAAGGGGTGGGTGTCAGAGAAGTTGGAGTTTCAGATTCTGGGATTAGGGTGGCTCAGCTAGGAACGTCTGCAAACATTGCAAAATCCAAAATACTTTTGGTCTTGAGCATTGCATGGCTCTGACACTTAATCTCATCAGGTCTCTGTGTGTCACACACTGTGCTTGTGTCATTGCCTCAGAAACTCTAGCTTTGGACTCACTGTGCAGTGGGAAGAGTAGATGGAGTAAGGTTGGACTGGACAGCCTTATTTAGACAGCCTTTTGAGTAGGAGGGTTATCGCCTCAGAAGTTCACTGGTGAGGTCAGTCCTGTGGCTTCCGTGCAGGATGGAGGAGGTGGAAGTAGAAACACCACAGGTGAGTGTAGTGGGATGGGGTCCCCGTGAAGGCATCATCTCCATGCTATGTGACAGGATTATGTGCAGAGAGATGCTAACACGACCAAGAGCTTAAGCTCTGTTTTTTGATAGGGTATTGAATGCCATTAAACAAAATACTTGAAATATCAGAAGTTGATTTAGAAAGGCAGAATAAAGACTTTAATTTCCATTACAGTGGGCAGCTGAGGCTGGGAGATACTGTTGGCACAGGCAACTAGGAGAGCCACCATTGGGAATAAGTTAGATTTGATGCTCAGTGTTTTTCCCTGCATCCTAATCTTAAACATGAGCAATACATAATCACCCCTCCCCATTTCTTAGGTAAAAATGTATTTATTTGCTTTGCCCAACAGTTAGAGAGAGGGAAAGATGGAGAGAGAGGGTGATGGGGCAGATATTTTTCATCTGCAGGTTCACTACCCAAATGAATGAAGCCACAGGGCTGGGCCGGGCTGGGCCGCAGCCAGGTGTTTGCCAGGTCTCCCACATGGACACAGGGGTCCAAGCACTTGGGACATCTGTCATTGCTTTTCCCCAGACTATAAGATCAGAAACAGAGCAGCCGGGACTTGCACCAGCACCCATTGGTGATGCAAGCATCACCAGTAGTCACTTTACTGCTTGCTGTGCCATAGTGCCAGCCCCCACAGTTTCCTTTTAAAGGGAAAAAAATTGTGAAACTTGTATCTTGAGCAAAATTTTTCTTAAAATATGTAATTCATACTTATATATAAAAAAACAAGTATAAAGCAAAAATAAATTTGTAAGTATAATGTAAGCTAAATTGTAAGACCAGTAAAATAAACTAAATGTGAGATGAGGCATGATGCTGTTTTCTGAAACTAAGTCTGTCTTTGCACAGTGACCATTCTGTTGTCTGCCTTCCCACACAGGTGTGTGGCTGGTCACATGTTGATTCTAGGATGACAGTCCCCACCCTGATGCTCTGGGTTTGGATACCACAAATCCAAATTGTGATTGTTCTCGAATCACAGGCTAAATGGTTGCACTTTCACTTTGTGCATATATGTCATTCACCTTTCTGTGCCTTTTTTTTTTTTTTAAAGATTTGTTTATTTTAATTGGAAAGGCAGATCAACAGAGAAAAAGAGATAGAGAAAAAGATCTTCTATTCACTGGTTCATGCCCAAGTGGCCATAATGTTCGGAACGGAGCCAATCTCAAGTTAGGGGCCAGGAGCTTCTTCTGGGACTCGCACACGGGTGCAGGAACCCAAGGCTTTGGGCCGTCCTCTAGTGCCTTCCCAGGCCACAAGCAGGGATCTGGATGGGAAGTGGAGCAGCTGGTACATGAACCGGCTCCCATGTGTGATCTTGGCGCAAGCAAGGCCACTATGCCACCACATGTTGGGGTCCGTGCAGTAGATGTGGGGGACATGAGTGGGTGAGGAGTGTTCCATTGCAGGCAGGGCCGCAAGGAATTTCCCCGCTGTTCGGCAGGGCCCACTCGGCGGATGTCTCTACAACCACCTGAATGCAGCTCCACCTTCTTTTGCATGGACACTGGACCACCCTGCGGAAGAATTTTAATCCATCCTGGCATTTGCGAGGTTAACTTTTTGCTCAGCCTGAGCTTGGAGGTCAATATCTTGCAAAAAGGGCCCTTTATCATTCCTACTGTCTTGGCTGTCCCCATTGAACCTATGCTAATCAAGGGACCTGTATTTAGGCTTTCATTCTTTCCTTGATCTTTAAGTTCTCCTTTTCTTTGTGATACAAGATTGAATTGTAGGATAAGAATTGTAGCAGGAACTTCTAGGTACTGGCAGCAGGAACTTCTAGGTAATACTATGGCAAGAGTTATCTTTAGAAACACCCACTTGACCATGACGTAAAAAGTCTGGGCCAGAGTTTGACTGATTTTGTATAAATAAAGCGGACAGCTTTCCCGCATTGTCCATTATTATCATGAAGTCCTAGTGGTCCGTCTCTTTCTTTCCTCTTTACGCCTCATCCACGCACCCTTCGCGAGTACCGAACTCAGCTGGAGCTGGACTCCGGCAACCACACTAGGTGCTCGCTCGCTCTCTCTTTTTAAAGATTTACTTATTTTTATTCAAAAGTTTTACAGAGAGAAGGAGAGACAGAGAAAAAGGTCTTCCTTCCACTGGCTGCAATGGCTGAAGCTGAGCTGATCTGAAGCCTGGAGACAGAAGGCTCTTTCAGGTCTCCCCATGGGTGCAGGGTCCCAAGGCCTTGGGCCATCTTGCTGCTCCACAGGCATGGATTTGGATCAGAAGTGGAGCATCCAGAACATGGACCAGCACTCATGTGGGGTACCAGTGCTTGAGGGTGGAGAATTAGTTGAGCCACAGCATCAGCCCTTTC